GTGATGGATGAGTTGTTAGATGAAAATAATATTTTATTAGATGTGATGGATGAGTGGTTAGATGAAAATTATATTTTATTAGATGACGTGGATGAGTTGTTGGATGGAAATAATATTTTATTGGATGTTGTGGGTGAGTTTTAGGGATGGAAATGGAGGAAATGATGAGTTTTGAGATTTTCACCATTTCCATTTCCATTTCTTGGTTTTTAGAAAACAAACGAACAGGCCCTTGTACGAAAATCAAAGGTGCGTTGGATATTTCTTTTTTCGAGAAAATGCACATTTAACTTTTCTTTTACGCGCGTCCTTTCAACATCCCACATCAACCCATCAAACGTCATCAGAGCGCGCCAACTCATTCATTTTCGCATAGAAACGCTCTATGCGCACGCCCGCATATACTATCTCTGGTCTCCTCTCCTCCCACTTTCTCAAAATTTCCCTCTCTCTTCACCCAAAAATCCCCCCCAAACCCTCGATACCGTAGAAATCGAAAAATCCCCTTCAAGCTCCATTAATGGCGACCGCTTAGTTCGCAGTCCATGGCCGATTCCTCTTACGCTCTCCCCCTCCACCGCCTCTCGATCGGCGACACGATTCTGGTCAACTTCGAAGGCGATCGGAGGTGGTACTCAGCGGAGATCGTGGAGGCCAATGGAGATCACGAGTGTGAAGTTCTTTACAAGGACGGAGAGCGTGAGTGGATTGATCTTGAGAAGGTTAAGTTTAGAGTGAGCAGTAATTTGAGCGGTTCTATCAGGAAGAGGAGCAAAATTGAGAAGAGCAATGTGAAGGAAGAGGAGGAGGCTTATGAGATCGAGGAGATTGGGGATGTCCTTTTTGACAATGGTGAGTGAGAGTTACAGTATTTTTTTTAATTGGGCTGGAAAGGGTTTCCTTAAAGGGGGTAAATTTCAAGAAACCCCCTTTAACTTTGGTGTGATTTGCACAAAAAGGCCGTGAGCTTTAAAAATTAGAGAAAACCCACCAAAGGTTGGGGAGTCTTGCGAATTCTGGTGCACTTTTGAAATGTTCCAACAGAATTTTGGGGCAAATTCTGTTTCAGGGTTTGGATGAGAAGGGAGATCTGGGGGAAACAAGAGGGCGTTTTGTTTTGTATTCATGTCAGTAGAGTGGAACTTTTCAAAAGTTCGGGGAGCTTTTTGTGAAACTTCCTAAGTTCAGGGGGTTTTCATTAAATTTATAGTTCATGGCCGTTTTGCGCAAATGACCCCATTGACAAGGGTGACTGAAATTGTATTGCGGTATTTGCATTGATGCACAACTCGTTCTAGCGGATTTGGTTTTTTTCATTTTGAATATTTGCTAAAGCTGTAGGCTTTCAGCTTACCTTGCTGAGTTTGAGTTGACGAAGGAGCTATGTTACTTGAGTCTTTATTTATTAATGAAGCCCTTTTGATGGGAAACTTGTTTGACTTATGGATGTAAGCTAATTTAGGCTCTGTTGGAATTCATTAGACAAGGTTTCAGCTGTGTGACGATAATGGCTTTCTGTTGTCTCCCTTAAATCAATTTCCTACTGCATGCTACCTAACTTAAGTACTCATGAGTCATGATGGAGTGTAGCGCTATTTGCGTCTGTTTTATTCTTTGGCTTTTTTTTAAATTATCTATGACAGATGGATGCATTTCCCTGCAGTCAATATTATTTTCTTGCATCTTTGTCTAGATTTATCACAGACTAACGTAATCAGGCCATCAGCATTAGTTTACACTGTGTGGCAGATAAGTCACTCGAATTCCAACCCTCTTTGCCAATCTTGACTTGGTTAGTTATTCTCCTCTAGCTCCTAGAAAACTATGCAGACAGCTGGTTGTAAAAATGTTTTTAAATTCTTTCGAGGGCCTTTGTTAACTCTTAGGTCCTTAGTCAATCCCATTTTGATTAGGAAAAAGTGCAATTATGCTGGCCGTCATGTATTACTGAACTCGTTTTTGTATTTTGTTTATAAATGTAACCATGTGTGTCCGTGTGTATGTTTGATACAGACTCCTTACATGAAAGCATGGTATAAAGTCTTCAGACTAAATGTCCTAACCTATCTTTTCAGGCAAAGTGAAGGAGCTTGTTTGCCGCAGGTCAAATCGTCTCAAGCAGTCAACACTGGATGAAAATATTTGTCTCAAGAACCCTGCTGGAGATCATGAACAAGAGGTATGTGATTAGCTTCTATGCATAGGTAGGCTTCTGCTGTGTGATAATTATCTGTATAGACAAATTGCAGGAGGTTGCTTTCCGCAGGTCAAATCGTCTCAAGGAAAAGTCAAAACTGGAAGAAAAATCTTGTCTCAGGAATTCTACTGGAGATCTTGAACATATGGTATGTGATTAGCTTCTTTATATAGATAACGCTTCTGCTGCATGATATTTATTTGTATGGTACTTCTGATATGCAGGAAGACCCTGCCTCCCCATTACACTCAACAGAATCTGAAGAAGCCTCGGACTCTGCCTACACACCTTCCAGCATGTACTATTGTAGGAAAAGCACTGAGAGGTATGTAATCCTCTAGGTTAACTGGTACTTTTTTTTTCAACTCGCACATCTAGTCTGAACACAATTTCATTTTTAGTAGGTTGATTCGTCGCAATACGAAGGGCAGTGATAAAAATCAGTATAAGACAGGTAAGAATTATCAGGTCTGACACTTCTATTTCTTCAGTTTATCAATTACAGTTGTACACTAGTTATCCTGACATTGCTTTTTTGCAGTTTAGGATTATTAATTTTTCACTGATGTCCTTTGGGACGCTTTTTTTTGACTCATGTATCTTCAATAATAAATAAATGTATTTGTTGAAATGTCAACACTGCCTACCATGTTCTGAGGGACGGATTACAGGATTAGGAGATATGTCCTTAGATGAAATTTTGAAGAGGACGTGGGAAAGTTCTTGATGGGGGTTAATGCTGTCTTTTAATCTTTAATGGGGAGTGTTTGGAAGGTAATGGTTTAAGAAACCTGAATGCTTAATGTTTTAGGAGTGAACTTGGATGGAGTGCTGGAATAAATTCAGAGTTCTCTTTAAATTGCAGACCTTCAGTTTTGTGAGTTCTCTCTTACATATGGTTCAACAACAACCTTGACTGGTAACTAGCAGCAATGTTATAGAAATCATGGTTTTTTTTACATATTAAGGAAAAACTATATTACTACTTGTAGTAAATGTCAATAAACTATTTCAGTTTCAACTTGATTCATAACTTTCCGTTATCTTACATGTCAATTTCATAAATTTTACGTTCAATGTAATGTGAGGGATATGTGTATTTGGATGCCTTGTCTCTTGGAAATGAGTTAAAGGAGGGAGATACTTGCCATATACATGCAACTACTAGAATGGCCCTCTGGTTGAGAATCAGATAGAGTTTTGCAGCGGCTCTACCCTCTTTTAGTTGTTGTATGGTCAGTAACAAATTAGCAAATACCAGTATTTGAATTTTTTCTTTGAACTTGTATATTATATGCCATCAATCTTTTACAAAATAATGCTATAACCATATAGTCCATATCCCTTTGATCTTAACTTCTGGTGCTCCGGTACTGTTGGTTGTGAAGTTAGCTTGCTGTCTTGGCTAGTTCCAGCAACCTTGAGATGGCCTAGAAAACAGCATAAATGCTATATTTTAAGTCTTATCAAACAACTAGGAATTAGATTTCTGGCAAGTGAAAATGCACGTGTACTGGATAATTTTTAAAGCGTTATATGGTAGATAAATAATACTTTTGGTGATAACAAACTTAACAATCTATAGACTATATAATGTATTAATGTGATGCGATTTACATTTAGAAGGTTCATTACAGAAGGATAACTTTAGTGGCATGTTAGTGTTATTTGTCCCACACTTGATGTGGTGAAGTATTGAACCGACTGCTACTCACGTGCAGATGGTTCTTGCTGTGTCTTGGTCAGCACTTGGTATGAAAACTTTTTGATGGCGTCCAATGCAGCCTGCAAGCTGACTGCAAGTGCTTTGACCTTTCACAGTTGAATGTATTTAATTTGATTGGAAAAGTACACTTCAAGCTTCGGGTTCACACTGAGATTTTGTTTCTCATTGATGGAAAATCTTTGTATTTTTACTCGTAGGAAAAGGATTCATGTTGGGCATAGTTTATTGTTTAATTCAAAGGAAGCTTTAATTAATTAAATTTCTCAAGAGCATTTCCGTGAATATCTTCACAACTAAATCTTGTCATGTAGATGAACTGCTTAATGATTGCTCTTCTGATGATTCCTCTACATCTTCCACATGCATCAGGAGTGATGGGCTACCCTGCTCTATTTGTCAGGTTTGTTTTTTGATCTGTATACTATCCTGTTGTTCCAACCTCTGTTACTTGTCTTCTGAATTTCTTGTAATTTCTTATTTTGGTACAGAGCACAGATGGTCGGAGTTTTCTAATCCAATGCAGAAATTCAACTTGCTTTCGTACATTTCACACATTTTGCCTTCGTCCTCCTTTGCAAACAATTGAAAATGACTGGGTTTGCCCTATTTGCCATGGTGGCTCTTTCATTAAGAATTTGGCCGAAGATAAAAAACAAATTGCCCACAGAATACATAAAATTGTTGGATATAAGCGAGTCATCATGGAGGACCAAAAAAAATTATTTCAAGATCAGTTCCTTATAAAATGGGCGTCACTTTCCCATCATCAAGATTCTTGGGTATGGTCTTTATTTGCATTTATTATGCTTTTTGCTCATACTTTTGTAGAGTTGTCATATTAGCACATTCGTTGCGCTGAACATTTTTACAATCTAAATCAGGGCTCAAGGGTAAAGCTATTTGATTTTTACTGGTTCTGTTTTTATGAGTCTATGACAGATCATTTCGCTGATGATGCTTTGTGTTACTACAAATAATATTTGATATCAGATTGTCTGTTTCTCGTCAATAATGGATAAATTAGTTAGCTTACTTTCTTGCATTCATTTTTCCAAGTATACTAGCAAGAAACCCCCCGCGTAACGCGGGGAGAATAAAGAATGCATACTCCTATCTTTAAAATTGGGATATTCATTTCAATAATCATAAATGTTGAAAAAGTAAGTTTAACGACAACAAAAATACAACAGTTTTGATAACAGATGTAATACACATTGTTTGTGACAAGAGTTGGGAAGCACAAGGATTGGATTCAATAATAAAGATGTGAATGTAACATGAACAAATAGTAAATAACCGAATTCATTATCAATATCTATTTGACATAAAAAATCATATGAAACCTAGAATAACATGATTCTATTGGTATGAACTGCGTACCTGATTTGATATGAAATATAGCGGTTTGACATGAAAAAATAACAAGAAACCTGTTTGACATGGAAAAAACAAACGAAACCAGTGATAACCTGATTATTCATAATTTTATGAAATATGTACCTGAATTAGCGAAAAATTCTTATGAAACCTGTAAAAAACATATAAACAACCTAATTTGTCATAAATATGTATATGACATGGCAAATCGCATCAAACCTGGAAATACCAAACATGTACGTAATGGAGACTGAGTATACGTAATGGAGACTGAGTAGTTGAGTCAACTATCAGAAATAAAACCAGTTAGGTTTCAAAACCATGAGTGCTTCAAAACCATGGGCAATACCAGTAGAAAATTTATTGATACAAATAAATAGTCAGATTCAACCTCCAACCACCAAGTGAACGTACCAATCCATATATATCTATAAAATGCAATGTTTATGCAAAGTTAACGTATTAAGTTAGCGTACCAAGTTAACGTACCAGCCACATGTATATGCAAATTATGGTTGCGGGCTCAGAACTTGGTCAACAATATCATCATTGTTAGCCATCCAGTGTAATATCAACAGATATTGCAGGTTGCTAATCTCAGAAAATTTTACAATCATCATAGCCTAAAAGTAAAAAAATCCCATTATGATATCAAGGCTTGGTAGACGCTATGTAAGCATGCAACCTCATGAATAAATAAAGATATACATATGTCAAAAAATAACATAAGAACACCATCGATTCTTTTTCTTCCGAATTTGCCATCCATTTTTCAATTTATCTTTAGTTTTAACATCTGAATTTTGTTTTGGACCCAAGGATATTTTAGGGAGTCCAGGCCAAATTTTATCAATTATTGGTCATGTGGCCATTTCCCCTTTTGCCCCTTTGGTTGTTTTTTCTCTCTTCTAATTGTATCATATTTGGTAATGGTGAACCCAAATAACCCCTGCCTCACCCAAGGCCATGTCGTTCCCATCCCTCTCATCCCATTGAGACTGAATTCTAAGAGGCGAGGGAGGGTGTTGGGTGATGTGATTGGAAGAATGGTGGTCAAGGAGGTGATGGACTTGGGATTTGTTTGGGAGATAAAAAGGAGGTAAAAGGACAAGTGCTCTCTCCTCAAAATTGATCTCTACATCTCACAAAAGTCTAAATCCTTCAAAGATAATCATCAAAAGAAGAAGATCTGTCGCTGAATATCATCAACCTCACAAGTCACAAGTATCATTCATTCAAGAAACTATAACCTTATATTTATTAAAATCTTAGAATCTTGCAATTCTTTTCTTTACTATCAAAGGAAATTATACCTGAAGGAGATTGGCAAAGGTCTCGACAGTGACAGTTTTGTTAATCCCAACCTCATAGTACATCCTCAAGCAAACTACCCATCCACAATCTCTCAGCCAATCCCTTCTCAACCAAGCAATGTCACAAATGCATGGTTACTGCAGATCACAAATGCCCAAGCAATGTCAGAAGCAAACATGAAGCATATCAAACGAAAGGATGCATGGTTACTGCAGAAAAAGCCAAGACATTATCTAGAAATCTAAAGAGCATCCACAATGCAATTAGCTATAATAAATGTATAGTCATACTAAGCACATATTCCTGCACATACAGCTTGGAGAATATCAGATTCCACACACTAAGAGTGCATTAACAGCATGTAAGCGTACAATTAGAAAGCAGACATATTAACAGATAGTATCAACTTTTATACACAATAAGGCAAACAAAATCAGATTCCACACACTAAGAGAGAGGAAGAATAGCCAGGCATATATGCATCAGTGATGTCAAAAAAAAGCTAGCCAAATAGAATCGTTATTAAATTAAACGAACTTTCACTTGGGACATTGAAGAAAATAAGAACATGCAAATTTTCATCACAATATTTTCTAAAATGAAAATTTCAGATATTTTCGATCAGTTGTCATGAAAATTTTCATTTACCGTCTAAATTTCAAATAATAATTTTCAGATAATTTCAACTAATTATAGGAAAATGAAAATTTTCATTTACCGTCTAAATTTCAAATAATAATTTTCAGATAATTTCAACTAATTATAGGAAATGCAACATCCAAATTTCATCACAATATTTCTAAAACATACAAAATTTTCATCACAATATTTCTAAAATGAATGAAAGCTTTAAATTGAGGGACTTTTTTCTTTAAAGCATGGGTTGATACCTTGGTATTTCCATCATCATTCACAAAATTAAAGACACGGGTTGATAAAGAATATTTTCGAGAAAAATTCATGTATAACCTTCCAAGCTTTCACAAAATATACAAAAGTTTTCAAGAAGAAAAGGATGGCCTTATGAACCTGAAAAAGATTGCTATGAACTGATTTTGACACCAAGAATTTGCATAACTTGGACAATGTATATTAAGTAGAATTGAGATAGCCTTAATTTATTTAGACATGTATGAATGTGTCAAAATTTTTTGATAATCCCAAATGGTTAATTAAGTAAAATGTATAATCATATTTAAGATCAATTAATTTTTGTAAATATAAAACCCAAGTTTAGTTCTATGTCTGATAAAAAATACAGAATAATAAATTTTCATTTACTGGGTTGCTTTGCTTGCCTTAACTTGAAATATAAAGTGTATATTATTTTGAAGAAAATATTCAAAATCCAGAAATCAAAACTCATTCCTAGCTGAGGGTTAAATTGAAACTTTGGAAAGATAGTATTGGCTTTCCATAGCTACTATAAAAGGCTAACGCATGAGATGCCGAGCCCAATAAACTATAAGTTTATTAAGAAATAAAGTCTCTGTTCCCTTTATATTTTTAATTTAATGCAGCTTTATTAAATGCAACTTGTTATATATGGTTTGTGTCATTCACCGCACTCTTTTAACATAAAATAAAAATAAATGTTACTCAAAAAACATAAAATAAGAGAATTAAATTTTGAAAGTAATTGCTATTACATCAAAAATGAAATATAATGAATTGAGTTTTTTTAAAGGAAATTACAAGTGGTTTATAGATGCGGATATCGTGTTAACTTTAATAAGGATACTGAAAATTTACCATTTCTAGAGGAATTGAGCACTTACCGTAGATATCCACTTATGTGTTCATACTATCCATGGAATTAGCAGAGCGAAGAACAAATTTTCCCTGAAATAGCGAAATTAGGCTGAAGGAGGAAAGCAAGCCTAAAGCAAAGATCTATTAAATAAATTTATATTAATATCAGGTTAATAATAAGATATAGAGATGGGGAGAGTGCAAGCTAGCTTGTATATACCTCTTTGGTGTTGATGAATACAATCAAGATAGTAATGGAGAACAATCGTTTGTTGGTGAGCGAGTGATTGAAGCTGCAAGATGATCTGATAAGAATGAATGCATTGTTACAAAATTCTATGCAGTTAGACCTCAAATTCTATCAACAAATAAAATAATATGTAAACAAGAAATCATCAAAATGAAGTCAAGAGTCCTCTATAGCAAGATCCAGCAAAGATTTCAGCAAAAATACCCAATTTTCCCAATAAAGGCGTTGCCTTTTTCTCCCGACCCCAAAGTCAGCGATCTTGATCTGCTTCTGGCTGTTGATGAGGAGATTGGACGGCTTGATGTCGCGGTGGATGATCTTCCGGCTGTGAAGGTAGTCGAGGCCCTGGAGCACCTGGCCGGCGACGTGGGAGAGGAAGGGCTCGCTCTCGATGGGAGCCGCCGTCCATGTACTCGAGCGACGATCTGCCGCGGGATGAGCGGTGTCGCGCGAGGCGGGGAGAGCAGGGAGGGCATCAGAGTCTGAGGGGTGTGAGGGGACAGCGCGGAGAAGTAGAAGCAAGGAGGTGGGGGGAGGACTCTAGCGAGGTCGGCGACTGCGGGTCCACGCGGGTCATGGGTCAGGACGGGTCGCCGTTCGCGAACTTGGATGCGCGGAGAGGAGGGCGGAGGGCGTTTAGGTTAGGGCCGTAGTTCCAGTGGAACTTGAGGAGGCTGTGGTTGTGGTTGAGGGAGTATGAGAGAGATATGGAGGGATGGGAGTGGGTGAGAAGGTCTCTTTTGCTGGCCTTATCCGAAGAGGAAGGTTCCCAAAATATCCTTGCATCTAAGAAACATAGAGAGGGCAAAATATGTATGAGTAGTGAATGATGAAATTTGGCGTGGACCCCCTAAAATACCCTTGGTCCCAAAACAAAATTTAGATGTTAAAAATGCAAATAAATTGAAATGTAGATGGCAATTGAGGAAGAAAAACAAAAAAGCCATCTAGCTTTTAGACAATGTTTTTTATGGGGGCACGTTGCTCTGCAGTATGTTCCTTGTTTTGGTTATGCTTGGGCTTTTGCTTATCTTTTGCACAGGGTCTAAGCATTGACAAGTTTGTCTTTCCTTTTGTATAGGGTCTAAGCATTGACAAGTTTTTCTTTCTAGTCCTGATGTGATATAATTTAAAGGTTGATGATTAATTTAATTCCATAGAACTCTATAATATTAATATTAAAGCAACATTTTCAAACCTACCATATTTTTCTTGGGGGAGCTTTTTTGTTAAGAGTATGGTAACTATCATGCCCAGTTAGGGACTTGGAGTAAGCTGTCACTTGCTTCATGTATAACATGTTTTCGACAATTTATGACGTACTGCTTATGTCAAGGCAATGTGTAGACTGTGTTATCTGTGATTAAAATATTTGATAACCCCTCACCTGTTCTGGCTTGTTTGATGATTAATTTTATGTCCTATGTGTTGCAACTTACTATGTGTTGAAGTTAGGGGAAGAACTGAATTCTGATTAATTATCATCTCAAATAAACAAATCCTTGTATCAGACTGTTTGGAATCTACTTCATTTTAACGTTGAGCGTTAGCTTTGCCATTCTTTTGAGAAGAAACATTTAGGGTTTAACCTTTTAAATTTTCATTCTTGCAGTGGTAAACTAACATAAATCTTTAATATCCTTTATGCAAGTCTAAAATTTCATACTTGCAGTGGTAAAATGACATGAATCCTTCCAAATTTATCCTTCATGCAAGCCTTTTCGAACTCACGCTCCTGCTCCATGTCTGTGATGTCTTCACAGAGAACTCTATTTGAAGTTTCTTAAATTACCACATCCATTTCCAGTTCAGCATGCAGCTCTGAACCCCAGACCTTAGGACCTGCATCAATTTTATGGCTAATTTCACCAGATTAGTTTCGAGTTATATCAAAACCAGAAGCTTCTGCAATGCTCATTCTTTTCTAACAGTATTGTCATCTGTCTGACGGGGTTGCTTTGATTCTATAGAATGTTAGTTATGATCTTTTGTAGAGCAAGGATTTCATGGTAGGCATGGTTCATGGTATGATATCGACTTTTAAAAAGTGAACAAGTCGTCCAGTTCTTTTTCCCCCTCGATTCCTCTAGTATGCACAACATATTTCTAAAACAAAATTATTTCCTTGTGTACAAACTGTTTTCATGGCAATAATGGTCATGTTTGTTACTAATTGGATTTAATTTTTTGTCATATCAATGCTGTGTGAATATCAGCTGCCCATCAATGTAGGTATATAGCAATTCAGTAGGTTTGGGTTCTATTGTTGCAGTCAATGTTAGCCTTGTTCGCGTGGAAAACTGTTTTCTTTTTCATTGATATGATTGTCATCTTGGATTACAAAGATCCAGTCTTTTATAGATCCGGTTACAACTAAATCAAAAGAAAAAAAATAAAAATTACAACTTTCCTCTTGTGAACAAATCGCAAGCTCCTGTTTTGCGGTTGCTTGCTTGTGTGGGTTCTTTGCCAACGCCGGGGTTAATCCGTGGACCACCGCGCGATCTAGATCCGGTCGGATCTACACGATTATGCGGGTATTATTCCACGAAGGGAATAATAGCCGGGAGGGATTAATCCACCAAGGGAATAATCGCTCAGATCTCGAGATCTAAGACCAAGCTTAGATCTGGAGTGTAGTCTCGTGTAGATATCAGATCTGTTCTTTCTTCCTCTCGAAATCCTGCCTTTTCTGACGTGGATGGTCGCCGAGGATCAGATCTGTACGTCCAAGTCTTCAAGTCTTCAAACTTCGAGTTCACTCTTCAATCCGGCAGAGTTTCGGCTCTTGAAAGTTCGACCCCTGAAAATGAACATCTCTAGGCCTATTTATAGGCTCTCAGGACAGTGGCTGCAAAAGGGGAAATGTCGGCCACCTTTGGCCACTGTCGGCCACCTCTGAGTTCCGTTGTTTCCGGTTCTGTCCGTGATTCGGTTGATTGAGACTCTGATTGGTTGATCTGATTTGGCAGTAAGTTGGATTCCTGATTTGGCAGTAAATCCGCTTCTGAGTTCGAGTCCGAAATTGATCTTGATTCGATCGTGATTCGTCCGAGTTTCCCCTTGGTTGGATGGCTCGTTGATTCCTCAACTCATTAGCTTGATTCTGCACGCGGGTGGATGCATTCCGTCGCTTCTGTGCGATTCGTCGATCTCGTCGCCTCGTTGGTTCGTCGGTTTGTGCCGAGCTATGCTAGGGGACCTATAAGCAATTTTATATGCCTACAGATACCCCCTCCAAAGTATTTCAGTCTCGTTCTTTTATAGAAGAGTCTGGGATACTTTGGATATGATTGTCCCTACCTTCAGTCGGTATAACGGGACCTCGGAATGGCTTCTGTTCTTGACTCCTTCAATTCTCCAGGCTTTTCGGTGCTTTGTCGAAAGTCTGTAAGAGTTCCGGTGCTGCATTTATTGTCTGACCGTTTGTCGGAATTTTTTGAACTTGAAGTCGATTCCTTTTAGCTGGCTATTGATTGTGGCGTCGAGTCTTTATGCACAACGCGTTGTCCGGCGTAGTGTGGTTGAGTTATCCTTAAGAATATTTATAAACAATATTCTCCAGGAACTTCTCAACCCAAAAATAGGGAATAGTTTATACTCATATACCTTATTGGAGTATTAAGAAGTAGTTTATACTCGTATACTTTTCGGAGTGTTTTCTGCGCCCAAATGCGCTGAACCGACTTAAAATGAGCCAAAAAAGGCAGTAAATCGGTTCAAAAAAATCCTCCGACTCTTCCGAACATGTGGGAGAAGAGTGAGTAAATGACGGGTTGAATCGTCGCTCGATTTGAAGTCGTTTCGATGCTCGGTTCGACTTCAATTTGAGTTTTGGTTTGAACTGGGTCTGGTCCGGTTCGGTTCGGTTCGGCCCAAAACCGGTTCACCCTATATAAAAGGGTTTCTTTTTCTTTTCTTTTTCTTTACCCTAGGGGGTTTTTTTTTTCTTTTCTTTTTCTTTACCCTAGGGCCGGCCCCCCCTTTGTCCTCTTTTCTGAGTTTCTCTTCCCTCGAGTCTCTTTTCTCCCTCTAAACTTCAGATCCGTATTAGATCTAGCCTTCCTTTGGATCTTGGACTGAGAAATTCCCCAAAAACTCCAAATAAAAAGTTTCTCTCAGGCCCCTCGAGCGCGTGGTTCAGGTTTCCTTAAAGGTCTCGCCTTTATTGGATTTTGGGCTTCTCTTCAGGTAAATCCGCGGGATCGCATATAAGGGTTGAGGGAGTGATTTGATGCCTCAAGCTCGCCTTTTTAGGGGATAAAAAAGTGATTTTTATTTCTAGATCTGACCTCTTGAATTCTTTTTCTGTAGGCCATTATGTCGCGAGTATCGAGAGGTCGTTTTCCTGCTGCATCGGTTGATGACGCGCTTCCCTCATATGCTGGTGAGCAATTTTTTGACCTTTTTCGAAAATTTACAAATTAGTCCTCTTTTTTCTGGATATTTGCAAATTGGTCCATTTTACCCCCCGTTGTTCTCCTTGGTGAGGCAACCGGGAAAGGCCTTGGTTCTCCTTGGTGAGGATCGACGCTTTATGGAAATTTTGCAAATTAACCCTCTTCTTCTGAGAATTTGCAAATTAGTCCTTTTACCCCATTTTGCTCTCCTTGGTGAGGCGATCGGGAAAAGCCTTGATTCTCCTTGGTGAGGATCGACGCTTTAAAGATGGGTTTTGCTTGGTCAAAACCACATCTCATAATAAAGGGGGCGTTTTGACGCTGCATTGTGCTTTATAAGGCAGGGATATATTGTCGATATACCCTATCTTATAAATGCGCAATGTGGCCAAATCGTCTCGCCCTTTATAAGGCAATGACTCTATCTTACCAATTTGTAAGATGAATTCAATTTCCTTTTATATCTGAAATTAACAAACACTTAACTGCTTGTTTTCAGTGGAATATCCTTCCGGAGCTTTTTCATCGCATGCGGTGAATGGACGTCGTGATGAGTATTATTCAACATCTGATGACTTTTCGCCCATTCCGCTCACCTCCCAGTTTGCTCCGGGCACGTCGTTGGAAGTTGTCCAAGTGGTGAGGGAAGGTGGCCATCAAGCTCTTCGCCAGCTGATCACAGATGCGCCTCTCGTGCAGGATGCCAGTTCCGTTCAGTCTCTTAGGAAGACTGACTTCTTGTTTGGAGACTCTACCAGGGATCCCGATGCAGTATTTATTGAGGCTGAGCAGTGGCTTTACCAGACTGGCAGTCGTTATATGTATTTGCCGAAGATTCCTCGACACCGTTCTTTGACTGAGCTCAGGCGCCAAGCTGTGAAGCGGGAGATGTCGTGGAGTTTGACAAAGGAACATGAGAGCGTTCACTGCGGCTATATTACTCATCAGGCAGTTCCTGGTTCGAGTCGAGATCACATTGTTGGACTAC